GAGGAGGAGGAGGAGGAGGAGGGGGAGGAGGAGGAGGAGGAGGAGGAGGAGGAGGAGGAGGAGGGAGAGGAGGAGTAGGAGGAGGAGGAGGAAGGGCGTGGAATATTCCCAACCCTCCTTGGTTGGGCATTCGTTTTGAATAGAGCAGTGTGGTCTCCATTCCTTCCTTCCGTCCTCCTCCCTCCCTCCCTCCCTGCCTCTTCCTGTCTTGCCTGCGGGGGGCTGCGATCTGTGAAACTGTCGCCATTTTCGAGGCCTGCTGGGGGGCCCAGCACAGTGAGGGCCACGCGCGGATTCAAATTAGACCTCGCCATCCCTGGGGGGGTTGCGATCTGTGAAACCGTCGCCATTTTCGAGGCCTGCTGGGGGGCTCAGCGCAGTGAGGGCGACTCGCAGATTCAAATTAGACCTCGCCATCCCTGGGGGGGCTGCGATCTGTGAAACTGTCGCAATTTTCGAGGCCTGCTGGGGGGCTTAGCACAGTGAGGGCGACGCGCATATTCAAATTTGACCTCATCATCCCTGGGGGGCTGCGATCTGTGAAACTGTCGCTATTTTCGAGGCCTGCTGGGGGGGGCCAGCACAGTGAGGGCGACGCGCAGATTCAATTAGACCTCGCCATCCCTGGGGGGGCTGCGATCTGTGAAACTGTAGCCACGTTCGAGGCCTGCTGGGGGGCCCAGCACAGTGAGGGCGACGCGCAGCTTCAAATTAGACCTCGCCATCCCTGGGGGGTTGCGATCTGTGAAACTGCCGCAATGTTCGAGGCCTGCTGGGGGGGGCCAGCACAGTGAGGGCGACGCGCAGATTCAAATTAGACCTCGCCATCCCTGGGGGGCTGCGATCTGTGAAACTGTCGCCATTTTCGAGGCCTGCTGGGGGGCCCAGCACAGTGAGGGCGACGCGCAGATTCAAATTAGACCTCGCCATCCCTGGGGGCTGCGATCTGTGAAACTGTCGCCATTTTCGAGGCCTGCTGGGGGGCCCAGCACAGTGAGGGCGACGCGCAGATTCAAATTAGACCTCGCCATCCCTGGGGGGCTGCGATCAGTGAAACTGCCGCCATTTTCGAGGCCTGCTGGGGGGCCCAGCACAGTGAGGGCGACGCGCGGATTCAAAAAAGACCTCGCCATCCCTGGGGGGCTGCGATCAGTGAAACTGCCGCCATTTTCGAGGCCTGCTCGGGGGCCCAGCACAGTGAGCGCCACGCGCGGGTTCAAATTTGACATCGCCATCTCTGGGGGGGGCTGCGATCTGTGAAGCCGTCGCCACTTTCGAGGCCTGCTGGGGGGCCCTGCACAGTGAGGGCGACGGGCGGACCCAAATTAGACCTCGCCATCCCTGGGGGGCTGCGATATGTGAAACTGTCGCTATTTTCGAGGCCTGCTGGGGGGGGCCAGCACAGTGACGCCACGCGCGGACACAAATTAGACCTCGCCATCCCTGGGGGGCTGCGATCAGTGAAACTGTCGCCACTTTCGAGGCCTGCTGGGGGGCCCAGCACAGTGACGCCACGGGCAGATTCAAATTAGACCTTGTCTCCGCTCGGTGCGTTTTGCCGCGTGGCGAGCGGAGTGTGGTGGGCTTGTTTTCCACCGCCACCGAAGCAGGAGGGGGCAGGGTTCCTCCTCCTCCTCCTCCTCCTCCTCCTCCTCCTCCTCCTCCTCCTCCTCTTGGTCCTCCTCATCCTCCGCCTCCTTCCCCCCTCCAACTTATGGTGGTGGCGGTGGAAAGCGGGCCCATGAGAGTGGGATCGCATGTGGTCTGTTCCGCGCGTTGCCTTGCGGCGGGCCGAGCAGAATGCTATGCGTTCGCTTTCCAGGGCGTTGCCGCGTGGCGGGCAGAGAAGAAGACCATCGCTTCCGCCCCCCTGTGTTGCCGCACGGAAGATCGGGTGGGATAGTACGATTTCCACCGCATGCGTTGCCGCGCGGCGAGCGGGGTGGCGACGGGTTGAGTAGAATGTTATGTTTGTATCCGCAGTCTCGCGTTGCTGCGTGGCGAGTAGAGTGGAGTAGTTGTTGTTCCGTTCGTTGCGTGGCCGCGCGGCGAGCAGAGTCGATTCGTATGGCGTTCGCCCCCCAGGCGTTGCTACGCGACGGGCGAAGCACACTGCCATTTATTTGCGGCCTGTCGCGTTGGCTGCGCGAAAAGTGCAGTGGAACCGTATGTTGTCTACCCCCTTGCGTTGCCGCTTGGCGAGTACAATGCCGCATTTCTGCTGCACCCCCTCTGCCCCAAGTCGGTGCCGCGTGACGGGCACGGTTGATATCGATGACTTGCGAAATATCCCAAGCCTGCTTGACGGATTCATGAAGAATCCGACGATGTTCTACGCATGAGGTTTCACATTGGGCCCCTTGAAATCCGTGTGGATCGAGGTTTTGGTGGCACTTGGCGCAAATGTGGGGGAAAGTGAAGAGGGGGCGCTTTCGGGTTGGGGAGGTCCAAAGGGAGAGGGGTGACGGAGACAGGGGCCGATCGTCGATTCCCCGCGGTGTTCCGGGAGTGCTTGGCCAGGCGGAGCTCACAGAATATTGGGGGGAAGAGTTCGGCGTAGGGGCAGGGTGACATTGAGTGGGGCATGTTGAGGGAGGTTCGAAAGGGCGAGGAGAGAAATCGTACTGGAGGAGTGCGCCTACCCCTTCTTTCGCACGCGTGGCGAGTAGATAATAGTCTTGTTTGGTGTGCTTGCCCTCGTTGCTGCGTGACGGGTCGAGCCAAGTAGTCGTTTACGCCTTTCCCTTGCGCTGCCACGCAGCAAGTGGTGGAACATAATATTGTTTGCGCCCTCTGCGAAGCTACACGGAGAGTCGAGTAGAACAGTATTTGTTCGCCTCCTCCCCAGGTTTTCCCGAGTGACGGGCAGAGCAAATTGCTATGTCTTTTTCCGCCTTGCATTGCCGTGCGGCGAGTTGAGTGAAACAGCATGTTGCTTGCTCTACGCTGCCGCGCGGCGAGTGAATAAAATGGTATTCGGTTCTCCCCCAGGCCTTGCCAAGTGAAGGGTAGAGTACAATGTTGCTTGTTTGCACCCCCCCCCTGCGCTGCCACATGGCGAGTGCAGCACAGTAGTATAGTTTCCGCCGCCTCGCGCTGGCACGCGGCGGGTCGACGTGTTTTGTTCGCCACCGAGGCGTTGCCGTGTGAAGGGCGGGGTCGACGACCGATGTCTTCCAAAGGATCTCAAACAGACCCGACTGCCTCTGGGACTTCATGGCTTCCTGACCATCCTCTCCAGATGCCTCAAACTTCCTGAGGGTTGGGGCCTGTTCGGTGCCCGACAGCTCGACTGCGGAAAGAGGGGGTGTGGCGAGGGGTCTTGTCAAGGAAGGGTCCAACGGGAGAGGGATGAGGGAGACTGCAGCCGCTCTTCGATTCCCCGCCAAGCTTTGGGATTTGTTGGCCAGAAAGGGTTCCCAGAAGATGGCCGGGATGCGTCCGAGGTGTCCAACGAGGGGGACGTTGAGGGAGGGTGGTGACCGAGGAGGCCGTGTGGTCGTCGTCGTCGCCGTCCGTTGTCGTCACCGTCGTCGCCCTCGTCTCTGCCGTCGTCGTCGCCGTCGCCGTCGCCGTCGCGCGCTGTGAGTGCAGAAGACTATCGTTTGTAGGGCCCTCCCCCGAGTTGCCACATGACGGGTCGAGCAGAATGCGAATGGTTTTCGCCGGCTTGCTTTGTCACGTGACCAGGAGAGTAGACTTGCATTTGTTCGTTCTCCCACGGGGTTGCCACGTGGCGAGAAAAAGAGAGAGAGCGGAATTGTAGATGTATGTTCAATCTATCTTGTGGTGTTGGGTCCGGCACAGCACTAACACGTTTTGGAGCCCCATGGGGAGTTCCACCGAAGGACCCGATGGCCCAGTTCGTATGCTGCTCCCCTACCACTTTGGCAGACTCACGCGTTTCGTGGCCCCATGGGGGCTTCCCTTCCTTCATCCCGCCTGCCCAGCGGCACTTACACTTTCAGATGTGTGGGTCCTTCGCGAAAATCATGTGTCCGCCCCCTGCGTTACCACGCGGGAGGGGGGAGGAGCAGGAAAATGAGGAGGCTTAGGATATCGGAGGAGAAGGGCCGATAATGATTTTGACGACAACCACGACGATGTTGATGACGATGATGATGATGATGATGATGATGATGATGGTGATGATGATGACGATGGTGATGATGATGTTGATGATGAGGACTGCGACGATCAATATGCTATGATGATATGGTGATGATACTGTTGGCCATGATGCTGATGTTGATGATGATGAGGATGCTGCTGATGACGATGGTGTCGATGATAAGTGTGATGTTCATGATGCTGGTGATCATGGTAATGATGGTGATGGTGATGATCGATCAAGGAGCTGGTGGTGATGTTGATGAGGATGATGAGGACACTGGTGGTGATGACGATTATGATTATGATGTTGAATACGCTGATGCTGATACTGATGCTGATGATGCTGATTCGGATTATGATGATGATGAGGAGGAGGCCGATGCTGATGGTAAGGTTGTTGATGGTGATTGTGGTGATATGGATGATGCTGCTGCTGATGATGACCATGATGATTGTAATGGTGATGGCGACACTGAAATACAAGGATGACGACGATTATGATGAGGCTGATGATGATGATGCTGATGACGATGATAATGATGATGATGATGATGATGATGACGATGATGATGATGGTGATGGTGATGATGATGATGATGATGGTGATGGTGATGATGATGATGATGATGATGATGATGATGATGATGATGATGATGATGATGATGATGATGATGATGATGATGATGATGATGATGATGATGATGATGATGGTGATGATGAGGAGGAGGAGGAGAAGGAGGAGGAGGAGGTGGGGGAGGCCTGCATTCTGAGTTTCGTTGGTGGTGCTTGTGTTTTCGAGGCTGGCGTTTATTTTGTTACTGTTGGTGGTGGCTTGGGATTCCGGTGCTTGTGTAGCTGGCCTTTCCGGTGTTCGCTTGTGCGCGTTCCGGGGTTCGTGCCCAGCGTTTCTGAAATTGGGCAATCACCTAGGGCCAGGGCGGCAAGGCATGGGGGACAATGGTTTTTGTTTATGACCACGCATAGTGGCCACCCATTATGGGCTTTCAGTGTGTCTACTCGGGAATGAGAGGAAACATCGTGATGTGTTTGTCGTGCGGGTCTCTTGCGGAGCGCGCTGCGCGCGCCTTGCGACCCGCATCAGGTGTACAACCGCATGATGCAGCTGGGGGACACGGCGAGGGGCCAACTCGGGAGGGGCTGGGCAGTGCGAGCCTCGCCCAGCATCATAACATGACTACCGCGACAGTTACACTGCCACCCCTTCACAAGGTTTGCGCCCAAGCCTCCGGACTCTGCACTTGCAAATCTGGGTGCTTGCAACGTGAGGAGGCCCGCGATCTTGGCATCTGAGAGTCCTGGGGCATGACGAGAGCCGAGTCCGAGCTGCTCCACTCACGCCCAAGGCCGTGCCCTCGAGGGGTGGCCAGTCGTCGAGACTTCCAAGGTTGCGAGTGGTGGGGTGGCGCAAGAAGTAAGCTTGAGGAGTCTCGGGGTGCAGGGGACTGGAGAGCACAAGCGGGAGGATCACAGAGGGATCCCCACCTCCACTCACGACTCATCGCTACGGGAGAAAATGTTTGTCCATATTCTGCATGTGCTTCGTCTGCGTGCCTGCCGCCACTGTGCAGGAACATCGTGCTTCCGATTCCAGATGGGGTGGCTTCGGGAGGTATGGTCAACATCGTCTGGTATTTGTTGGGCCGCTTCACTTCTGTTTCATGCGACTGCGTTGCGCAGTCAGTAGGGACGACAATGTCACATGCGATGGGGACGTCGGCAATGACGCTGTTGGTGTTCATCATGACTTGCGGCGAGTCTTGTTGTTCGCCTTGTATTTTGGTAAGGCGAGTGTCAAATGTGACCTGCATAGGTTGTGGCATGCTCGGGGCATGGCCACACACTCGCGGTAGACATGCATTGGCGGATTTGGCTTTCATTGGAAATTGTCATTCGTTTTGAAGGTAATGATTCTCGTGTGCCCTCGGAAGTGTCGCGGACAGCGGTTGGCTTTGCCATTTCAAAGGCGATCGAGCTCATCGGCATTGGATTTGCAATGCTGCGCAGCGCATTGGAGACAGTAGCGCGAGTTGGTTAAATGCTCGTGTTGGATTGGTGAGGGTCATGTCGACGACGTCATTTGAGCAATGCCCTGGATGGGGACCAGCGAGATATTGCTGTGACGTCGGGCGTGTCGAGACGTTGGATAACCTTCGACCAGCCTCCAGCTTAATATCGCGCTGTCACCGTGCAGGCAGTGGCCGAAGCATGCGCTCATGAATCTTGTCAAACTCAGCGTGAAATGCAGGCCGAATCAGTTTCCGTGTTTGGAATTCTTGAGGAGGTTGTGTGGGAAGGCGCGCGATGTGTGCGTGTGTGTGTGTGTGTGTGTTTGTCTACGCAATACTTCCCATGAGCCAAGCGCTGCACAGGCCAGATGGCTCCCACCGAGTGCTGCGGCATTCTGACCTTGCCAGCTCGGCCCTCGCCAGATGCTGATCTTTTTCCGTGCCAGCTCGTGCCTGTGTTGTGCATGCTTTTTTTTATACGCTTCGCGCATTCCGCCGGTCCATGTTTTATCGAATACGCCTACTGCGAGTCACCGCCGTTCCTTGCCATTCGAAGTCTCTTGTGTCATGCCATATCGAGACGGCCCAAGGGGACGCGGGAGGCTGCTGTACCAGCAGCCACCAGCAACGGGCAGCAGCAAGGGCCAAGCGCGTTCGGCACCCGTGCTGCATAAGTCTAACACACCTCTGGCCTCATGGGCATGTGAGATGTAGTTTGCGAGGTTGGCAGTCTCGCTAGACGGGCAGATGTTGTTCGAGGTGTAGCTTTTTCGGCTATGTGTCTTGTGCTCTGTCCGCTCGCCCTGACGTTTCATCAATTTAGCGTGAACCTTGCGGAGTAGTGGTTAGGAGTCTGGTCTGCAACACGCTGGGGCAATGTGCTCAGCGCGTTTCTCACAGCCCGTCTGTGGAAGAAGTTCCAGTGGCGCGCGATCTATTGTGTATCATCGTGTCGCGTGATCTACTTTCCACGGTCGTTGTTGCACAGCCTGTGTAGATTTTGTTGACACCAGATCTGTTTCAGAGTTAATTCTTGTTGTACCGATTCATTCACATATGAACGATCGTCGCTCACTGCGCCCTTGCAGTGTGCCACTGTCCACAAACTGATGGAACTGTGATGTCTCAATTTGTCCGTTCTTGGGCTGGCGATGTAATCCTGATAGTGCCGTCGACCTCATGCAGATGTATTGCGAACTCAAGGCTGGATCTTCCTACCTGCTCGTGTGGAGTTTGTACACGTTGACGGTCGATCGTGGCTGCTGCATGCACCCGTTACCATTTCTTACCCTGGTCTCATTTGGAAGTTGTTTGGCCATCTCTATGTCTCTCTCTCTTTCTCTCTCTCTCCTGTTGTTTCTCTTGTTCTCTTGGCCCCCCTCGTTCTCTCTCTCTCACTCTCTCTGTCTCTCTCTATCTCTCTCTCTCTCTCTCTCTCTCTCTTTGAGATAAATATATAGATATATAGATTTATACATGTGTATACATGCTTATTTGTTTATACGTATGTATGTATGTATGTATATATATAGGTGTCCTTCCCAAGTCCCCGACGCCGTGATTTTTGTTCACGACGTGGACCCCTGGAGGTCTAGACCATTTCCCCAGGGCAGGCTTTTCATCCCGAGTCGTGTGTTGAAGGTCCCGTGGCCCGGCACGGGCCTGCAGAGGCCGAAATTTGCAACAAGCCCTCCGTCGCGCGAGGGGGTATGGGTCTCTCTCTTCCCCTTCTGCGGGTGCCACGACACGTGCCTCTGGATGGTTGCGCGTCTCCCCGAGGCGGCCTGGGACCACGATTGAGCATGGTCATGATTAAGAGAACGAAAAATTGCATGACCATGCAAATTCGGAGGTCCGCGCGGATTTCTTGCATCGGCGCTGGACAGCTCTCCCTGGCGCGCGGAGCGCGCCAAGAGGGCCCCAGCGCCGATCCGAGAAATCCGCGCGGACCTCCGAGTCTTAATGTCTATATAATTGCTCGTGCCGCTAATTGTGCTCCCCCGCTGCGTCGGGCTCGAGCTACCAGTCGAAGAAGGAACAACGCCATAAAGATAACTTTTGGCGCTCCGCGCGGATTCCTTGGATCTGCGTTTGGCCCCCTGGGCGGCGCCTCCGGCGCCGCCCCTGGCGCGCTCCGCGCACCAGGGAGGGGGGTCCAGCGCAGATCCGAGAAATCCGCGCGGAGCGCCAAAAGTTTGTCTTTGTGGCGTTGTTCCTTCTTCGAGGCAGGGGCGTTGCACTCCCCCGCTGCGTCGGGCTCGAGCCACCATGCCGTCTGACCCCGCGGAGAGCGCGCCAGAGTGCGAGGGCCACGGCCGCGCGGAGGGCGCTCTGGAGTGCGCGGCTCGCGCGGCCTGCGGGGGGGCGGGCAGCGACGAGCTTCCCCAGGGCGCGGGCGAAGGAGACCTGTTGGGGGGGGGGCTTGTGTCAGTCGGCGCGAACGACATGGGTACGGAAAGAGTGGGTGCAATGCCCAACAGCAGCTTCTGTTCATTTGGAGCAGGACTCGCTGTCGATGTCGCCGCGGCCTGTGTCCATTTGAGACAGAAGGCCGCCTGCCCAACAGCGGCCGCTGATGGTTTGGGACGACATTTGTTGTTGGGCATTGTACCCATTTCGGGCGTCCGAAGTCATGAGGGGCAAACACACAGACACAAGTAATCGTCGATTCCCCCCAAAAAGGGAAGCTATGGGAAGTGAGGGTGGGAAGACAAAGACCCAGAGAAAAAAACAGAGGATATGGGGAATCCTGGGATTTGTGTCTATTTACTTGTGGATCCCTGGGCCTCTTTGTTTTGGGCGTCGCTTATAATGGGGGGGCGATAAGTGGGGGTGGGAGAAAAAATGCACTTTTCGGGCCTTCAGGCCTCCTTTTGGTCCCTTGAGGGCCTTTGCAAGGGCCCCAAAGGGGCTCTTTTCTGCAGCCCTCGCCGCCCCCCCCATGCATCGCCCCCCCAGTACTGTCGCCGCCCATGGATTGAGAATTGGGCGCTTGGTAGCCGGGGAGGGCACTCCGGGGGGGGGGGGGGGAACATCGAGGATTGCAGGACAGTGAACCCAAAAGGGCCCAAAGAGTCCGGAAAGATGCACGGTCTTTTACTCCCCTCAACGATTCCCCCCGCCCTTTAACAAACGCCCGAAAGAGGACCTCGACCCCGATCGGCTCAGTCAGACCGCTGGGCCCGTTAATCGATCCATATCTGCGCGGCCGACCGGTCTCTCAGACTAACGTGGTTGCGGGGTGAACGATGGGAAGCTGGGCGGGGCTAGGACGAGGATCAATCCGTTCCAGAGCGTTCCGGAACGCTCTCAGTGCGTTCCGAAACGCTTTGAGAAGGCCGCGGCGCCCGGGACACCCTCCAGAACCGCGGGGTCTCAGAGATTCTCGATTTATCCTCACCCGAAGTTATCCTTGTCCTGGCTCCGTTTTAGGAAAAGGGGAGGGGAGTGCAAGCCAGCTGCATGCAGCTGAGTCGCGAGTGCCTCCTTTGCGACCCCGCACGCTTCGAGCTGGATGGTGGTCCTCGCGCTGGAGCGGGAGCGGATCGGGCAAGCGGGGATCGGGATCGAGGTCAGGCCTGATGTCGGCCCAGGTCGGGTGGGCAGAGGGCCGAGTTGGGCTCTTGGGCATACAATGGGGAGGTTCGAGTCCGTTTTTCTTCAGATTCTGGCACGTTTGCGTCTTGCATTGAGGGGGGGGAGAAGGCGGTCGTGGACACAAAACGGGCTTCACGCAAGTCGGATTAACTGGCACGCATTCTCGGCTTGGCGCTATAGCAAAAGGCGGCGGAAGGGGGAATACAAATGAATTTGCTGTAGTCCCAGGACGAAGCCCTCTTCGTCCAAACACGCGAGGGGGTCCCGACCCTTTCCCCGGGTCCGGTTTTTCTTCCGAGCCTTTTTGTTGACGTTTTTGGGGCCCGGCGAGGGCCCCAGAAGGATGAAAACAGCAAGAACCCGTCGTGCTTGTTCAAGACGCAAATCTAAATTTGGCATGCAAGGGCATTTGCCTGGGTCTGGAGATGAACAGCCTCCTTCTCAGATGGCGAGGCCCTCAGAGGAAATCTCTGCCCTCTTGCGTCCTGGAGCGCCGCTGGTCGGCCCAGAGGGCCCCGCACCCCAGAGAGGTCGAGTCGAAGGCCGCTCTTTGACGCTGCTGGGCTCCACCGACGTGGAGCCACGTGCGGTCGAGAACTTCTGGTGAGCGCGCCGCTCCGCCAGCTCTGGCCCACCAACTCCTCGGCGCGACGCGCGGACCACTTCTTTGAGTCCCAAAACGTCAAGGTCCCGAGCCTGCGCCCCGCGGAGCGCAGCGACACGCTGCATCCTCTCGCGCAAGGCATGGCGTGCCGCAGGGGCCGCCGCCCCCGCGGCACGCTAGGCAGAAAGCTCCCGACCGTATGGGGATGCCGGAGTCGGCGTCTCGGGGGAGCGCGCCAGCTGGGACCAGATCTAGGTCGGGCATAGCCAGGGCGCCGGTTTGGGGGAGCCGGTCAGTGGTTGGGCCCCGAAGTCCGACAGATGGAATATGGATCGGAATCTCCAAGCCATGTCTGTTGTAGCTGGTGCTCTGCGCGTGACGGCAGTCCCGGTGAGTGGATGGGGGCGGAGGGGGGGGGGCGTCCGTTGGTGCACATTATTAATTCGTTGCCATTTTGGAGCGTCAAGGACGGGGGAGAACGAAGAAGGAACTGAACAGATGGAACAAGGTCAATTCGAAGTAATGAACAACCAAGTCCCACTCAACCTAGTCCCGCCAACGCCCGACTGGGGGCCCTAGGGGGGCCTGGAGTCCTCGTGCTCCCCTTGGTTTACGATGTTTCACCCCACTTCTCTCTGACCACCAGAAAGAATGTCGAGCACCAAGAGATTACCGACATTTCAAGGTTTTCACGTGTCGGGCCCTGGGAGGCGGTACTCGTTCGACACAACAACCCTTCGTAGACCCCAAAAGTAGTGGTGAGAACACCCGCCGGTGAGTCTCGGGCGTTTTGGTGTCACCACCCGGTTCGGGGACTCTTGTACTTTCGCGGATGTCCCAAACGTTGGTTGGTCCAGGAGTCACAGAACCTGGCGATGACCCCTTGTCTCAAAGCCCGGCGGTGACTTTTTGGGGGTTCCAGGCCACCACCTGATATCTCACCACCTGGTTTGGGGGCTCCCAATCGCCCTCGGGTTGCGCCGACGGCGTCGAGGATGTGCTCGCGCGCGCAATGTGGCCGCGTGCGCTTCCAGCCAGCGCTCGGCCTTGGTGGCCGGACATGCCGGTCTTTCGCGCGCGTTTATCTTGCGGTTGGCTTCCGTGGCGTTGGCATCATCATCTTCCTGCTTCTCCTGCTCCTACTCCTCCTCCTCCTCCTCCTCCTCCTCTTCCTCCTCCTCCTCCTCCTCCTCCTCCTCCGTGTGTGCCTCTGGCTTCCTGGTGTTTTTGTTGTTCTTTCCAGCCTAAGGCAGAGTTGAACATGTTTAACGCAGGACCATCTTCTGGGCCACTTGACGCTTGGCAGGCCTTGAGGATCCAGGCGGCAGGCCTTTCTGCACTCTCCTCAACTGTCGCTTGCCATAATCATTCAAAATCGATGAGCATTCTTTGCTCAAATTTCTGACCGCTTGGGTGGCTACACAGCCACAGGCAAGACAGACAGTGCTCCCGAACTCCTTGTGGTAAGGCAAGGTGTGGGAGCTATGCAAATCAATGCCGTTGACTGTGCTCTTGGTGGGCACCATGATCAGATCCCTGAACAGGCCCTGGTGGCATGGGGTATCTAAAAACTTGGATACCATTCTCCATGGCGAACTGCCTGCCTCCACATGTGTGACACTTTACCTGGGAAACTATCCCCCAAACTGGCTCGTGAGCTGTGAGCTTCAACTTGATACGAATCTGGTGCCTGGCAGGATTCAGGGCCGCCTCTCTCGGCGCGCGATTTCCACCAGCTTCGATAGACGCAAGCAGGCTGTGACCGAGGTGCTGGCGAACCTGGAAAGCAATCGCTTGCGCATGGGACCTGCTGTCCCTATGCGCCGCAGAAGCTCTGATATCTTCAGCCCACTGGTTCGCTATTCGGTCAGCCAAATCATTCAACAGAAAAAACAAGGGGGAGGTTCCCAGGTCACGGACTTCAGGAATATTCATATGTCTCTCGACTTTGGCCAGCACCAGCCCTCTGGATGGAAACTCCGCCAACAAGCCTCGCACATTCTGCCACACATCTAGGTGTGATTTTGGCGTGAAACCCTGTCGAATTCGCTTAAAATTCTTGACAACATAAGTGGACTCTGTCACAAAGAAGCCGTCTGCAACAGGGAGGACGGCCCGCAGGAACTCGAGTAAACTCATCGCTTCCCCCCTGTTGACCGACTGGCGCCAACCAGGAACATTGCCGAAACTAACCCTGTGTGCTTGAATCTCTCTGGGATCATATTCGCCTCCTGATCGGGGGCCTCTGAAAACAACCCATGACCAGGCGACGCGACGGAGGGCTGGGTCCTGCGAATCGGGCCCCCCGCTGGCGCCCCCTCCTCCGAAGATGAAACCATCGACCACCGCCTCCCCCAGCTCTCCCCAAAAGGTGCGGAAATCAGCTCCGTCGGGGGGCGGAGGGGCGGCGGTCCAGTTGCTCGGCGTCAGCCCTCGCAGCCAAGAGCTAGGATTGGCCTCCCAGTCCTCTAGCGCTCTGCGGCGCACTGACTCAGAGACCTTCGAAAACTCTGCATTCTTAGGACAGCCCCAAGCCATGTGCACGTCACACCCAACCAACTCAACACACCTCTTGCAGGAGCTGTCCTGCGTGAGACCGCATTCTTGGAGCCTTGCGCGTGGCCAGCTGTTGCCCGTCGCCACGGCTTTCAAGATTCCTCGCCACTCGTGTTGGCCCTTTTTCGCTAGAAAGCGAAGCTGGCGCTTAAAGTCGCACACATCTGGGACCTGCTCAAGACCTGACCCGTTCCACGAGTTGGCCGCAGCAGCGGCCCAAAGTTGCCTCTCTTTACTCTGAGACAGACCTTCAAAAAGGTCCGCGAGGTCAACCTTGCCCCGCCCGGGCTTGGTTTCTGAAATCGCGAACCGATCACCCAGGTCACTCTCCCAGGCCCAAGGGCCCCAGGGCTTCCAACCCACATCCAGCAGAGTGGCGACCGCGGCGGCCGTCGGAGTGCCGATCCCGCGCCATCGATTCCTAGCTGGTTTGGGATCGAACTCGGCCGCGACCTTCCCCCAAACACGCCTCGTCTTATCGGCGCCGAATCTCGCATGTGTTAAAATCTGAAACCGAGCTTCAATCGTGTCGAGCGTCGCAAAAAAAGGCAGGGTCTCGCCTACCGTAATCCAGCGCAAGAAGCGTGGTCAGGCACCTTCCCCCTTTCGAGACGCCCCCCGTCAACCTACCCAACGCCCTACGC